CCMAWWGRCAMYGTGCAGCGACTCCATTTTGTGCAGCAAATCAAGATGGTAGTTRTAGTCCTCGCACTTTTCACAGCCMCTAAAATATCTCCTTAAAAGCCGTTTTTATAATTTCTTTTTAGAAATTCACGATGTGTCACGGTCGTCGACCAGTGCACTGGGGACGAAGCACTAAAAGAAGGTCTCAAAGGCCAGCCTCCGTATAGTGAGCTTCCATGGTGTCTTGCAAGAGTGTTTTGTTATAAATAACATACCAATAGGCATCTTTCAAACTTTTGGACACTGTATACATACGATTTTCGTAGTGATTTCTTGATGGAAGGCCTTTGAGGTCTCGTTTCCATGATTCGTCACTAGTCCCCAATATAGGCGGACGTGAACTGGCGCCATTTTTGAAAGTCGTGTATGGAACAAATATTTCTATTTTCGCTTAGAAAAAGCAAACTTGCGAGAAAGACTATTTTAACGGACATAAAAAAGTACAAAGACTACAAATACCATCATCCTTTGATGCACAAAATGGCGTCGCTGTAGATTGCCTATTGATAGATAATCATTGGTTGGATAGCTCGATTTACAATAGACACTATTATATCCATACCAAAACAGTAGAAGACAGACGCCCATCCACCGTCAAACCCATACCGTGTCAGTAAACCAGACAAAGGCATTGTCATGATGGTACCCACGTGACAACCTGCATGTGACGTCATTATGTTAAAGGTTAGGCATGTACTGTATGTGTATTAATCAGCAACTGAGTGAACATTGCTTGTAAAATCACATTTAGAACGTACGTTGCACGGCTAATTTCGTCAGCCGATTCTAATTGTAGTACGATGGACTGTGGTCTTGTTTCGTTGTTAGTTAATTCGTAGTTTCCCGCTCAATTAGGTTATGTGTTATATTAGTTCGTCACAGGCTTGATTTCGTTTATGACTTATGTTTTGTTTTTTTTTTTCTATTACGAATTCGTATATCTTGCTTTTCCATACATTGTACTTGATTTTACGATTTCGCATTTCGTTTTATCAGGGTGTGAATGGGGTTAACCGACTAGCGACAAATGGACAAAATAACTACTGACTAGCGACAAATTTGAACAAAATTTGCTGACTACCAACATTAACAAATTKACTGACTGGCGACATTTTCCAATATTCAAAGATGTTAGCTCCGTGAATACAAGCTTTTTTTTTATTTTTCAAGCAACTACATTCGAAATTTTCCGCGCCAAAAATAAATTTCGCTTCAGATTGGCTTGAAGTTGTGATGAGCCACTCTAAAACTTTGAGGGGCATCCAATTGACCAATCAAGATTCAAGGATTCAATTGTTGGCATTTTAGAAAGAATTCTGTTGGTATAAAGCACCGTTTTAGATGCATTTAAACTTAATGTTTATCAACTTTTTTTGAAACAACCGACTACCGACAAATGCCTAGAATTTTAACTGACTAGCGGCAAATGCTTGAAATTTTAACTGACTAACGACATTGAGACCCC